GCTACTGCACGAGGACCATGGGCTCGGCGCGTGAATGACACTTAGACCGATTTTTGAGGCTTTTCTTGTGTCCAAATGACTTAGAAAAATATACAAAGTGTTGGTTAGGACTTAGGATTGGTCTCGGACCTCGACCCGGGGCCTTGGGCGGGGTCGCGGCTCGAGTGGCTCGGTTAAGTTCACGGTTTCTCGAACGAGGTCTAGGACTTGAATTCGCACTTCATAATACTTAGAAAATTCTAAGTATTAAGCTATTAGGACTCGGCATGTTCTAAGGCTCGATGACTAGGGTTAGAAACGAACAAAACTTAATTCGAATAAACATATCCGAATACTTAAAATGACTTAATATATTTTTTAGCACTTAGCATATACTTAATAAATCTTGAATTTCTGAAAATTACGAATTTCACTTAAAAGTCGAGCAGTGAAAATCGTCTTAATAATATAATAATAATCAGGGCGTTACAGACTAGGTCGCGACTACGAGTTGACTCACGAGTAGCGAGTTGGAAGGGTCACTGGGCTGATGCTCTGTTAATGTTGCGAGTCGCGACTTTGGCTCTGTTAAACTCGCGACTTTGCACTTGCGCGTCACGACTTTGCTGCAAGCCGCGACTTTGGCTGCACGACATGATTTTACGTTTTGGGCTCGTCCGAACTCAGAATTGAGTTTCGTTTTTTTCTACGCGATGCCAACGAATCCTTCTATTCAATTATGCTCTCGAAACCAATTCTTCCTATTGATAAAATATGCCTGAAGCTCCCGACCTACACACCAAAAACGACAAAACATGAAGAAAACCAAAAAACAAACGAAAAACACCTAAAGACTCAAAATGAAGGAAAACACATAATAAAACACGAAACGGACTAAAAACAAAAGAAAACGACCTATAACGGGAGGGGGGTGTGGGGAAAAATAGGCAAAACAAACACGAAAAATGCAACAAAAATGAGACAAACAACTCCCCTACATTTAAACCTTTGTTTGTCCCGAACAAAAAGAAAAGAAAAGAAAAGACACAAAACTAAAAACGAGCCTGGACATCAGTCATTAACAAAATAAGCCTCAAAATTTTCAACTTCAACAACGAGCATTCAAATGGCACATACGTGCATTACACAACTACATGCTTGATCACTATACTTCGACATGGCGTTCTCTCAAGTATCGGAATATATATGTGTGCCTCAGTCGAATTCTTATACAGATAATGATAGGTGCACTCAAATTGGTCGATAACAAGTTCAATCATATGCTTGCCCATTGTCTAACTTCTACTCTATATCAATCAAAATCGAAACTAGTGCATCACAAGGTCTTTTCGGTTTGTAACATAGGCTATTTGGATAGGTAGGATAAATATAGGCAAAGTGGCTCGAATTCATTACATAGACATCTTACCCCAAGAATCGTGCACTCAGCCGGTTTCTCAAACATACCGGATCCTCCCCCACACTTTTCATAAACCACACGTTTCACCCATCTTATTTCATTTTTTTCTTTTTTTTTTGTTTAAACCTTATTGGACATTTTATAATCCATTTGGCTACATTTTTATATCTTTTTTTTTTGTCAAAAAACATAAACACAACTCCAACAATCACCCCCTCCAATTCTCAACCCGCAACTCGTCAACGTCATCATCACGAGGTTATAAAAAAAAATCAAATAAGACTAAAAAAGGGGAGACTAGAGAATATTATTTGCAGAGAAAGATTATAATAGAAAATTACAATAAACGCCTTAATCATATACACAGTTCACAATTCTAATCGATTTATTTCAACGCAGACTCAGGGCAAGTTCTAATCAAACTAGAGCACGACCGATGTATCTCAAGAAACAAATAAGGCTCAAACCTCACTAGGTAAATATATGAATGCCAATCAAATCTATCGACCAATCATTTCATCAAGCTATACCGCATATGACCAACATCACAGCTCATCAAATTCATCAAACATGTCTTAACCAATCTTGAAATTTCCAAAGTCCATACTCACAAAACACACAAACTGACACAAGACAAAAACAGAAGAAAAGGCAGAAAGGGAAAAAACTCAAGAAAGACAAGAACAGGAAAAGGTGTGCAAACCAAAGATGCATCGAGTAGAGTAAGCATTCCCATGCTAGCTGCTCGCTTATGCTCAACCTAGAACCTTGATCTTTCATGTTCATCTGAAATACCCTGCTCGAGCTCTCGAACTCGTTCCTGCCAAGAGAACGACAAAACTCCAAAACTCTCATTATTCAAAGATAAAACTAAAAAGAAAAAAGAAAATAAGTACGAAAGCGATGAAACTTGGGCTACCTCTTAAGAAGCGCTTGTTTAACGTCATTAGCTAGACGAAACCCATGAGAAACTCAGCCGGAGTCAATAAAGAAGTGACGTTCGTGCCATGACTTCGTATTTTCTAGAAATGGCAGCATGAGAAGTGTGGCAAGAAGGCAGACACAGTGGATTCGGGTGGCTGTGTTCTTGAAGAAGCAAGTGTGGGCACGAACAATCTCCAAATACTGACGAATATCTTTGTTCACCAACACTCTATAGTCAACCTCGGAAAATATGAAAATATCCATAGAGCATGTCGAGCTATATCCGTCTCTATCAGTTGCACAGGGTGGTGGCTCAGAATATAGACCCTCCAACTCGATCATAGGAGGGGAATCCTGAGGAAATGTAAACTCGGGAACATCTCGATCAGGCTCAAGAATCTCCTCCACTAGTGTGTCACTCTCGTTATGTGGGTCCACGACTTCTTCGTCGTCAAGCTCGCTCATACGCATCGACTTACATGTTCAGACAGCATGCGTAGGATGTGGATCATTGATAGGGGCGGGCCTCATTAGCTTGTGATTCTATGCGGTCGATGCATGTTGTTAGGCTCTCCAATTGCGCGCTCAACCGAGTACATCTGAGTTCAATCTCTTCATCTCGAATTGCTTGTGCCATCACTGATCGAGGATAAGATCAAGTTTAGCATTGTATTTTGAAGAGTCATCCTCGCGCTCAGCGAAAGACATGGGCTCCGGATGTGGGTCCACAACCATTGGCTCGTCGGCTTGTGACTCGATAGAGTCGACGCGCCTTGCTAGACTCTCCAATTTCTCGCTCAAACGGGCACGTCTGAGCTCCACCTCCTCTTCTCGGTTTTTTTGGGCCATCATCCGATCAAGGATTAGATCAAGTTTCTTGTTGAATGCAGCCTCTTCTTCTAAAGCTGTTATAAAGGTAAGAATCCAGTCGAGCTTCTCATTATGCTCTGAGGATCGCTCCTTAAATTCATAGGTCTACTAAACCGGTGCCAAACTCCATTGCTGCTCGAAAGAATACATGTAAGATTGGTCGTAGTACCCAGAAGTGTAGCTCAGCCCATTATTCCAGTAAAGAGTGTGCGGGGAGGAGAAAACGTTGTTCGGGTTCATTTATCCCTTCGGTCAATATCCTTGCACACAAGAACAGAACAACCATGCGAAGGCACAAAAAAAGAAGAAAAAAAGAAGACAAAAACAAAAACAAAGAGAAAAACAAAGATGCAGAAAAAGAACAAAAAAACGAAAAACAAAAAATAAAGAGAAACACAGAAAATAAAATCAATACCAAAACTATATATCCTACTTGCCTTCCCCGGCAACGGCGTCAAATTTGTTGTAGCAAATTATTTTCTTTTTACCGAGTATCGAATCGAAAGATTCGTTCCCCGGGTCGATCTCACGAGGAAGGTGGTTCAGAATCTAGGAATGGTGTTGAGAACACACAAAAGAAAAATAAATCCTAAACATACTAATCAAGATGGATTTTTTTAACTAACGACTAAGAAATGCATAAAACATAAATCTACCTAAAATGTAAATTAGAAAATGATAAAGAAACTAGGGAGTTGGGGATAATTAATTAAAGTTCTATTCGTAAAACCGGGACATTAATCGTTCGATTCTAGATTGACGCTCTCGCTTAAATGTCTAGCGGTTCGCTCCCAATTACTCTTTGTAACAAGGGATTGAACATAGACGAGCAAGTTCGAGCATACAACACCGGCCAATTATCCAATCCCAATAACTTTTCGTAACAACGGAAGGGATATCGACAAGCCTGTACTTCAATCCGAAACCTATAGACTATTCAATTACTAAATCGTCTATCTCGTGCGAGCCTAGTTCTACAACTCCTCCCCTTTTGGTTCTAGGAGTCACTAATTGAATTAGAAGGGGTTTAATCAACTTATCATTTAGAATCAACAAAATCCTAACTCGACAAATCAATATTCAATCGTTTCCAATCGCATGATCGAAGTGCCACCCTTCGATTATATCAAACTATCAAGCATGAATTCATCAATTTCTAATTTAAACAACTCGCATAAGAACGAACAAATTAAAGCCCAACAATTACGAAATTAACCAAAAACAATCATCCCATATCCCTAGCAATCGGAATTAGCTAAGTAAATTACATTCGACACAATCAATCACAACAACCCAAGCATTTGTATTCATAGATTAAATGAAAAGTAAAGCTTACTATTGATAAAGAAATCCAATGTTGAATCAAAAGTATGAGCTTAATCCGAAGAACTAGAGAACAATTCATGAAGAAATTAAAGATGAAAAGTTGAGTTTTTGGAGAGAAAAGTTGAAAGGAACGATATTGGGGGTTCTTCCCTAAGTCTGGGGGGTCATTCCAATATATAGGGCTCGAATAACCGAACAAAAATGAGAAAAAATGGAAAAAAATAAAAACAGGGTCGACTGGGTCGCAACTCGCGAGTTGGCAGGGTCGCTGGGCTGATCGGAGGCTCTGTTAAAGTCGCGAGTCGCGACTTTGCACTAGCGAGTCGCAACTTTGGCTCTGTTAAAGTCACGAGTCGCGACTTTGCTGCGAGCCGCGACTTTGGTTGCACTGCATGATTTTACGTTTTAGGCTCGTTTCGGATCGTCCAATCTCGGAATTGAGTTTCATTTATTCCTACGCGTCACCAACGAACCCTTCTATTCAATTATGCTTTCGAAACCAATTTTTTCTGTTGAGAAAATTTACTCGAAGCTCCCGACCTACACACCAAAAACGACAAAACACGAAGAAAATCAGAAAAATAAATGAAAAACACCTAAAGAGTCAAAATGAAGAAAAACACATAATAAAACATGAAACGGACTAAAAACGAAAGAAACGACCTAAAATGGGAGAAAAAGAAAAGCAAAACAAGCACGAAAAATACAAAAAAAATGGGACAAACAATATACCTGGTGCTAAGAAATTTGCCTGACTATAGAAGCCAGCTTGAAACCATCGGTCGTCCACCATGGCTCGATCAAGCTTGTAACATATTGTGCTATTGGTCCAAATGTGGAAGAATCCCGAAGAAGGAATATCCACAAGCTCGAATTTGTCACAAAAATCGGCTAAGTCCATAAAGTCTCTATTAGTGACGAGCTCGCCGTTGATCTTTTCTTCAGGCCTGAGTACCATGTTAAAATCCCTCAAAAGGAGCCAAGAAATGCTAATGAGTGACTTAGGGCACTCCAAGTCGCGCCAAAGCTGTTTTCGAGCACCCCTGCTATGGGGTCTGTAAACAAAGCTAACAAAGAAATGATGATTGCTAACCTTGCACGTGAGAGTGGCAGAAATGGATTGAGGTAGGATGTTTCCTATCACTAGATCCGCTTTTGACGGATTCCAAATGATAGTAATACGACCATGGTCCACTACTCCAAAATTATCGCAAAAGTCCATCCCCGAAGTCAGTTATGTACAAAACGAGAGAGACGACGGCAATCGTTTTTGTCCACACAAGTCCCAAAATATCTATGTTATTCTCTTGGATGAGTTTGACTACCTCATCCTGTTTTAGGGGCGCATTAAGACCCCTAACATTCCATGGGGCAATTATCATTGTTTGGAGTAGGGGAAACCCTTTTCTTCAATGTATTTGCTTTTTCAGCTCTTTTCTCATTAGGACGATGTCTTTCATCTTTACCGATGCTATTTTCGGCACCGGTTGGCTTGAGATGTTTGTCTGATTAGCAGATTTGTTCTTCTTGTGCACCACTTGAAAGGGCTGATACTCGTCATCGTAATCATGGGCTAGTTCCAGCCCTTGTTCCTTTGCAAGTCCACTGGTTCCCTTAGGCGTTATACCCTCGGCTTTGGTGGGCTGTGAGCTCATGTCCACATTACTGCCGGCTTCACTGGCTTGAGCTAGTACGAGCCTTTGTTCCTCTTCAGGTTCATTGGATTCCATTTGCCTTTTACCCTCGGCTTTAGAAAGTTGCGCGTTGTCACGTGTTTTCTCCTTCTCAAGGGGCTGGTCTCCAACCTTCTTGAGTGACTCATTGTCCCCGGATGACTTATTGGCTTAGGCTGGGGACTCAGGCTTCCCAGCCTCACTACTTGAATGTTGGTGATGCCTCTTAGTTGCCTTGGTGACCCCTTTGTCTTCTGCTGCTGTTTGTTTCTCTGGTTGGGCACAACTCTTTTTCTCCTTGGACTCCATAGGGAAAATGTTGTATTTAGATGGTGGGTGGCCTATGCGATTACAATGATTGCAATAATGAGGCACGCATTCATGACCACATATTGGACAAAGGAAGAATCGTGGGGAGTTTCCACTTGAATGGCATACTCTCGATCCTTGGAGATGTCTATCTCCACAAGTACCCGTGCATAGCTCCACAAGACAATACCCCCAGGTTTCTTTAACATCATCAATGTCCTCTATGTCCAACTTAACCACTCTTTTTTTTGGTGTAGTGTATGCAAGCTTGAGACCATTTGTGTGGCTTACGGTTGTTTGCAAACAACTCATTAAAGGGGCGTTTGATAGTTGTTGGCCTCCCTTTGGAAGCAGAGAGTACCTTTGTATCCACAACAGTGGGTGAAGAAGGACCAGATTGGTTTGCTTCTTTGTCGGTATTGTTGGAACTTGGCTTAGGCATTTTGTCGAACACCTTGCGTGCGCCATTTTTGGGTTGCGAAGGAAGCTGCTCTTGCAATGCCTCTTTTCACCCAATGTTATCAGCAACTAACCCCATTTTCATAGCATCAGTAATGGCAAGAAACTCACCATTATCACCCTATAATGAAGCCGCCTCATGCGAAGAAGCAGTAACAACCCTAAGTCCACCATGAACCTTGTTTGCTGCTGTTGGGTGGCTGGGCTTGCCTTCTTCAAGCTCAAGTTCATCTTGCACGTCTCTTAAATAGGAGTTATTGATTTTCAATTGGCAAAAAACTGATATTTTTTTTGTTCTGGGCATTTTTTCCACTTTTTGCTTGCAGCGGGTACTGTAGCAGTACAGGCATATTGGGGAAGACGATCAACCATTCTCTAAAATGAGGGATTGCTGGTGTCAAAGTGCTCGAAATAGAGACATCAACGATTAGTGATGCGCAACAACAACAGAATCGATCAAACTTTCAAAGGAATCACTGCAAGAATTGCGAGAGTACTATAGCACTGTGCGCACAAATTCTGCTCGAAAATGCTTAAAATCCCGCACAAAATGAATGGATTTGGAATGGAACAAACCCGGAACATAGGTTAATCAACCAAGAGTGCGAAATTACAACAGATAAACACATTAAATCTATGGAATAAGAGCTCAAAATGGTGGCAGGCCCTAAGATGCGGAAATCCTAGTGAGAGATAGTCTACATTCTTTCTAACCTGACTGACTAAGAGCACATGAAATCTGGGATTTCTTTTTCTTGTTTGGTGGTTGTTTACCAGCTAAAGTGCTCGTGAGGTATGTTCCAGTTTTTAACCGGTCAGTTATGAACTGTGTGTTCTAGGCCACTTTCTAAGTGGTTTTGTCACTGTATTTTTCTCATTAGGAATTGTTTCCGCCTTGTATCGAACTTTGTACATTTCTTTTTATGTATTGAGATCTTCTATTCATTTGTTTAAAAAAAAAAAAAACTGTTATGAAAACGGAAAGATAAAGAACACAATATAGAAATTGGATATAACTTATACTCAATCTTTCTTCTTTCTTCTGAATGCGTATTCATTTACTTCATTTGGTGTGCCTTTTATTGGCAAATTCTACCGACAATTCTACACAAATTATTAACATCCCATACCCCTTTACTATTCACATTACTATTCATGAATAGTGGTACATTCCACTTGTTCATAATACACCCCCTTGGAATTACCACTATTAAATGTGCGTTTATGCTGCCTCGTTAAAAACCTTATCCGAAAAAACCCTGTGGGAAAAAAACCGAGATAAGGAAAAAAGAGTACAGCCGCACATGCTCCCCCTCGAGTTATCATCTGTGCAAATCTCGAAGATGTCTCATTCCAATGTTGTGGACGTGCTTCCGGAATGTTGTAGTTGGGTGCGATTTTGTAAATAAATCTGCTGCATTATCACTTGATCGGATCATTATTATTCGATAATCCACTGGCTTGTTGAATGTATTGAGTCATGTTTCTGAGCCAGATGCTTTCACTAGTTGCTTCATGAAGTGCAACGATTTCAGCATGGTTTGAAGATGTAGCAACCAGTGTTTGTTTTTGAGAACGCCAAGAAAATGCAGTTCCACTAATTGTGAAGACGTAGCCAGTTTGAGATCTCGCCTTATGTGGGTCTGATAAATATCCTGCATCTGCAAAACCAATCATTTCATGTTTTTTATCATTTGAGTAAAATAATCCCAGATTGGTTGTTCCTTGGAGATAACGGAATATGTGCTTGATTCCATTCCAGTGTCTCCTCGTAGGTGACGAGTTATATCTTGGTAACAAGTTGGTAGAAAAGGATATATCTGGTCTGGTGCAATTAACAAGATACATAAGAGCTCCTATTGCACTCATATATGGTACCTCAGAACCAAGTATTTCTTCATTTTCTTCACAAGGTCGAAATGGATCATTTTCAACATCTAATGTTCGGTTATCCATCAGAGTACTAAGTGGATTAGCTTTGTCCATATTGAATCGTTTTAGTACTCTTTTAGTATAGTTAGATTGATGGACAAATATCCCATTTTGTACTCTCTCTATCTGTAAGCCGAGGCAATATTTGGTTTTTCTGAGATCTTTCATTTCAGATTCGCCTTTCAGAAAAGTGACCGCTTCTCCTATTTCATTTGCTGTCCCAATAATATTTAGATCATCAACATATACAACAATTATCACAACTCCATCATGTGATTTCCTTATAAAGACACACAGACATATTTGATCATTTAAGTATCCCCTTTTGAGCAATGGTTCACTCAAACAATTATACCACATACGCACGGATTGTTTCAAGCCATATAATGACCTTTGCAGCTTTATCGCGCATAACTCTTTAGGTTTGGAGTTTAGTGCTTCGAGCATTCTGATTCCTTTAGGAATTTTCATGTAAATGTCTGTGTCTAATGATCCATACAAGTAAGCAGTCACAACATCCATGAGACGCATCTCAAGATTTTCATGGATAGCTAAACTGATCATGTATCTGAAAGTTATTGCATCCATGACAAGGGAATATGTTTCATCAAAACGATCCCAGACCGTTGGGAGAAACCCTGTGCTACAAGGCGAGCTTTATATCTCGTGATCTCATTTTCTCATTTCTTTTTCTGATGAAAACCCATTTGTATCCAATAGGTTTTATGCCCTTTGGCGCAATGGAAATAAACCCAAAAACTTTTCGTTTATTGAGTGAATCTAACTCGGCTTGGATGGTGCCTTTCCATTTATCCCAATCATGTCTTTTCTGACATTCAGTTACAGCTTTTGGTTCAGGATCCTCAACTTCATTATCAATTTCTTTTTGATACCATATATGCAAATGCATCATCAATATTTATGATCTCATCACGCTTCCAAAGATTCCATTTATTTACGTAATTAATGGAAATTTCAATATTTTCATTTCTTTCCGAAATTTTCCCATCATCTTGATTCTTTTTCAAATTCGGATCATGAATTTGTCTTTTCTTTCGAGGATTCTTATCTTTAGACCCAATTGGTCTTCCTCATTTCAAGCGTGTCTTTGACTCATTTGGCATATTATCATTTTCCATTTCTTTTGGAATCTCAATTCGAGCAGGGGCATTTACAGCTGCCACATGTGATTTGGTCACCCTTTTTAAATCAGTAAATGCATCTGGCAATTGATTTGCAATATTCTGCAGATGTATGATCTTTTGAACTTCTTGCTCTCTTTGTTTGGTGGGAGGATCAAGATATGATAGTGATGATGTTCTCCATTCAATATATCTCTCAACTGATTTTTCATTCCCTCCTATGGGGGGAAATAATTCTTCATTAAAATGGCAATCATCAAACCGAGCTGTAAAAACATCACCTTGGCTCAAGGTATTTGATTATTGATGGAGATTCATATCCAACATATATTCCCAATCTTCTTTGAGTCCCCATTTTTGTACGTTGGGGTGGAGCAATTGGTACATACACTGCACAACCAAAAACACTTATATGTGCAATATTTGGTTCTCGACCATATGCCAACTGTAATGGCGAGTTTGTATGGTATGTACTTGGTCTTATTCGAATTAGATCATCTGCATGCAGAATAGCATGTCCCCATACTGAAGTGGGGAGTTTTGTCCTCATTATTAATGGTCTAGCAATAAGCTGCAACCGTTTAATTAATGATTTAGCTAGACCATTTTAAGTGTAAACATGTGCCACAGGATGTTCAACATCAATTTCCACGGCCATACAATAATCATTAAATGTTTGAGATGTAAACTCACCAGCATTGTCAAGTCTAACCCTTTTGATAATATAATCTGGGATTGAGCCCTTAATTTAATAAGTTGGGCGAGTAATTTTACAAATGCTACATTTCGAGTGTCTAACAAACTCACGTGAGACCATCTACTAGAAGCATTAGTCAACACCATAAAATATCTTAATGGACCACAAGGTGGATGAATAGGTTGTAACGCCCCGTTTTATCTTTAAGAAATTTATCAGTTTATTTAATAAAAATCAGAGTTTTTTTTTTTTTTTAAATATCCAAATTAAAACCTTTACCGAGAAACGGGCGCTACTTACTAACATTTACAAATAACACACATCCAACAACTCAAGGTACTACACATGCACGAGTTAACGATGAAACATGATTCAATAAAACATAAGTCTTAAAACCATTTCAAAAGATCCAACATTATTCGAAGTTCAACCAAAACAAACATAGTTCGAAAAGTGAAAGCAGTAAATAATCCAAGGCAAATAAATAAATATCAAAGTACGGAAGCATAGGTTTATCAACACATATGACCACCATCTCGCTCGTCCTACGCCACCGCCTCCAGCTCGTCTCAACCTAAAACAAAGGAAGAGAGAAGACAACAAGAAAATAATGGGGGTCAGCAACCAACTAGCTCACCATTATCGCACGGTTATCTCGTATAATTATTTTAAAAAGCAGTATCAGTTTAAAACAGTTTCAGTATCGGTATGCACAGAATTCAAAGCCTAAACCCCCTACCCAGCCCTATCGCAAACCTCCTATGTACATACAACAACCTTTCGGATACAACGGCATGGCTGTAACTGAAAACATTCCCACCCCCGGGTACAACGGTTCGCAGGATCCATTCCAGGAGACAGCAGAGATGTTTTTCCCCTTCCGGATACGACGGCATGGGGCGTCCCTCCCGGATACAACGGGCAGGCGACCTCCTACTGTTTTCGCATTCATAAAGGCACTAGCGTTCGGGACACTTAGACTAGAGTTCTCATGCATACAAAAATTTTCAAAAGAAAACATTACACGAAATAAAGTGTGCGATAAATATGGAACACATCATAAATGTACCCACCTGATAGCAGCACGGTTCACAGTCACAAATCTCGAAGCAAGGCAAGATCAACACTTCTAGACACCTACATGATGTCAAGATCCTACAATCATAATCTATCTCGACTTAACTCGGAAATCACAAGACAGACCTAGTCGAACTCGTTTCGACTAAGTAGTTCGTGAAGTCCTGTGGATGTGGAACACTAAGACTCGGCACTAAGCTCAACCCAACCACTTAAGGGAGTTCACAAATCCATCTAAGGATTGACCAAGTCAAACTCACATAAAAACGAAAAGCAAGTCGGTTTCCAAATTCCATATAAAAATTATGCTCGAAAATAGAAATCATTTAATCGCATGAAAATAGAAGGTCAAGCTACCCTATAAATTAAGATCTGAAAATTTACACAAAATTTCATCTCCCAGAAACATGTAAAACCACAAAGTTTCAGCTTTATACTCGAAATACCCTATTTTATAAAATTCGAACAGTATATCAGCAAAATGGGCACATTAATTCATACTCAGATTTAATGAATGAATCTGAACTTGAAAATTTTACACAGCAATATACAGTATGCTAAAGTTCATGTATAAAAATATCAGCCTTAAATGATAACTGCTGCTATTTTTAAAAATTCATACGAGCAACAGCAGTTTATCAAATTTAAATCCAAACTGAATCCAAACGGACTCTAAAAATTCCCATCTTTTACAAACATGATCAAACACTTAAAATATGCCTCTCAGTAAAATTTCAAAATTTTCCATGCAGTAACCGATTTATAAAAATTCAAACAACGTTTCTGCAGATTCAATAAATAAAATATTAACCATACCAAATCAACTCCAAAAATTCTAAAACTTTAACACAACACATATAATTTACAGAGGCATGACATAATCGAATTTCAGCTCATTTCAGTCAGGAATGAATTCTTTATGCATCTAACAATATTCTGGGTAGATTACAATTTAATTATTAAAAAGAGCTACAGGCCTCCAAAAATTACGAAAATTTTACACAAGGCAGGCAATGAACAGATAACACATCCCTCAAAATTTCACAACGTTTCGAGCAGCGAGCTATTTTTAAAAATTCGAACACCGAAATAGCGGTTAACAAGCTCGACAACTTGGCAATTAAATCACAACATAAAATTTCTCGTCCGAGGCCTTTTCATAAGACCAAGGACTCAACATTGTTCCAACATCCACCGACTTACACGACTTTCGAGTCTCGTTCGATTCTTGAGAAAATCGAAGAGGTCCCGAACATACGAACACATAAAATCATAACAATATATATTCGCACATAATCACATCAATAAATTCACACATACTTAGAATA